CAAAGGTAAGCAACAGCCTCATTAAGAGGAGATACATTCAGGCCAAAAGGAGAGGAGGCAAACAATCTACCACGATTCAAACCAGAGAACCTGGGTTGATAATACATGACCTATGTACCCTTCAATAGAGAAGGCAATCAGCTTTGTTCCCTGTCTTTAAATTTTATTTTATTTTATAAAATAGGGATAGAACTCAGGACCTTGCACTTGCGAGGTAGGCAGTAGAACCGCTGAGCTAAATCCCAGGAGCTGCTCCCTGCCCTTTGATATCAGCACTGGAGAGCTTAGGGCAGAGCTGTCCTGAGAGGTTCTGCCTGTGTTCTTCATATCGATTTCAAGGAGGTAAATTTGTTGTTCTGAAAGTGCAGACACTAGAACCAAAGGGATCTTATACGGGCCATTGCTGTGCCAAGTACTTTGTACTTATTACACACCTTCCTCCAGTCCTACAGAACCGGAAGTGCCACAACCAGCATGTGAAGGTGGATTCCAAGGCTCATAGAATGTGCAGTTCACACAGCTGGTAGTGACAGGGCTGGATCTAGACCCTGGGTTTGCCTTAGTCTAAAACTCATCCTATTTCAACCATCCCAACCTGGGAAAGTGAGCCTGACCTAGTGTCTCCTAATTTACATTATTCTCATTTTTGAAAATGCATCCTAAGCAGTGAAAAACAACTGTGGTTAATTTACTGAACTGTAATGCTCAGCCAGAACAATAACATCACCAAAATAAATGCGACATTTGAATAATGAAAAGGAAAGTCATAGTTGGTGGAAAGAGGATCACATATTCAATTTGATGTTAGCCTCAAAAGATCGGTGCCTTAAAAAGTCATCAAACAGGCCGGGGATTTAGCTCAGCAGTTCAGTGGCCTGCCTTGCAAGCACAAGGACCCGAGTTCAATCCCCAGTCCCCCCCACAAAAAAAAGTCATCAAACAGGCCGGGGATTTAGCTCAGCAGTTCAGTGGCCTGCCTTGCAAGCACAAGGACCCGAGTTCAATCCCCAGTCCCCCCCACAAAAAAAAGTCATCAAACAGGCCGGGGATTTAGCTCAGCAGTTCAGTGGCCTGCCTTGCAAGCACAAGGACCCGAGTTCAATCCCCAGTCCCCCCCACAAAAAAAAGTCATCAAACAGGCCGGGGATTTAGCTCAGCAGTTCAGTGGCCTGCCTTGCAAGCACAAGGACCCGAGTTCAATCCCCAGTCCCCCCCACAAAAAAAAGTCATCAAACAGCCACTTACTCATCTATAAAACAGTGAATATAGGGAGAAAGAAGGAACATGAGGCCCTGCATCATGCTGGGGAAGACAAGAGAACTCAATATTGTTTTCCTATTACATCTCATTCTCTGATGTAGGCCCCCAGCCTTGTGCTATGCATTTCCCAGTTGCCTATCACTTTTAGGTTAGGGACCCATTCTTTTCAAGGTTAGCAGAGGGAAATTGCTCAGAAGTTTACGTGGATGTGCCATTTCCCAGGAAGTCTTTAATCCAAGTGGCAAGAGCCTACAAAAGTCGATCTTCCTAAATCTAGTGAGGTCTGTAGAATAATCTGCATTTGATTTCAAAGACATCAACACTCTACATAGAAAGAGGGCCGAGTTGGAGCTGCAAGTAACCAACTGAATCCCTTTTTAAAAGTCTTATTCTACCTGACTAAATGGAAGATTTACTTGTTTGTTTGCTTGCGTTTGGTATATTTAACATGTGTCCTATTGAATAATGCCTATTTAATAATGTTGAGTACATGTGTGTATGAATAATGTTGAGTACATGTGTGTATAAATATCAGATTGCACATTTAATTCTGTTTTCCATACGTGGTTGTAATTATTCTGTTACTTGGGTCAACATGTTGGTAATTGTTGGATATCCTTTGTTATTGACAACAATAAAATATGCCAGGAGTAAGGCGTTTATTAAGTAAATTAATGGTACATCATATTTTGGTACACACATACATTATAAAAGTATTACTAAAGGTTAGGCCTTTAACCTATCTACCCTTTTACATAGCTACACATTTTTGCTGAAAGAATGCTGTTGTGGCTTGTATCTAGATGTCCTCCCAAAGCCTTTTGTGATCATAGGTGGGGCTTTTAGGAGGTGGCTGGATCATGGGTGTGTGATACTGGGATTATGGATGTATGATAACTAAACTGGTTTAGCATAGATCTGGGTGTGGATAACGGAAGCCCTACCTTTGGTGTGGGTGGCACCACCAAAAAGGCTTGTAATCTGGATGGGATATGAGGGAAGGGAGAATTGCTGCTTCTCTTCGAGGTTTGCTACTTGGGGCCTTTGACTTGCCACACCATGGGCTCTTTCTCCTCTGCAATGCCCCTCTGTCATGCCACCTTGCCTTGGAAACAGCCAACTATGGGCTGAAATCTGTACAAACTGTGAAGCAAAATAAACCTCTCCTCTTTTAACTTGTGGGAATCAGGGATTTGGTATCAGCAATGAGAACAGTAACTAAGACAAGTGCCTAACTCTTAACAAATTTCCAGGATAAGAATCAATATCATTAACTACAGCCCTCATGCTGTATATCAGAATTCTCTATGTAGCCATTCTTTATAACTACAACTTTGTGGCCTCCCACCTTTATCTACATATCTCCCATGCCCTCTTTTTTAATTATTCTTCCATTGTCCCTTTCAATGCATTCAAATTGGTTCACTTAGCATAACTTCCTCCACATTTATCCATGCTGTCACAAATGGCAGAATTTTCCTTTTTAATAGAAACAAATATTCATTTTATGCATATACCACAAATTCTTTATTCATTCATCCACTGATAGATACTGCTACTTTTATTGTCTTGGTATATGCAAATATTCCTGAAATGAATGTGGGAGGACAGATTTCTCTATGGTGGGCTAATTTCATTACCTTTCCATGTACACACAGAAGAGGAACCGCTGGCCTAAATGGTCATTTATTTTATTGTTTTTGATTAACCTGCAGCGTATTATACTGATTTACATTCCTATCAATAGTGTATAAAAGTTCCCCTTACATGTTCCTCATCATGCACTGTTTCTTCACTTTGCTTTTGTTGTGGTCAAACAAATGTGAAGTGATATTGCTATATGGACTAGATTTTAATTTCTGTGGTGGTTAGTAATATTGATCATTTCTTCATACACTTCATGGCCATTTTTATTTCTTATGCAGAGAAAATTATTATGACTGGTGATTTTTCTTATAAATATGAATGAACTATGCACTAAAATTATTGAAATCAGAACTTAAAAGATGACAAAAGTTTGTTGACACATTTCATTCTTCTCTTTCTTCATGCGCTTGGACTTTTCAAGAAATTAATTCCTAATTTATCATACCTCATAATTTTTTGTTTACTCCCCAATAATTATGTGAAAGTATTCATGTATCTACTGAACAAATAGTCTTCCTCCCCAAAACAGAAACATTTAACTTCTTTCCATTGAATTTTAGAATCAAAGACATTGACTTACACTTAGCAATAAACAACAACTGAAAAGAAGGCATGCAGGAGGGGGGAGGTTGGAGTTGGAGCATGCAAATGTCCAGAGACCAAGTAGTATGGAATCTATGGAATCATGGGAAACTGTGAGTCCCTCAGTGGAAGACAATTCCTAGGATTGGCATTAAGGCTACGTCCCAAACTTTGTACTCATGATTTCATTCTCTATTCACACCTTGGAATAACCTTGGAGGCCCAGGTAAAGCTTTCAAGCTGAATTCTACCTGGAAAACCTGAGGGGAAACAGAGCTTTTAAGTAAAAAAGTTGCACAGATTCAGCAGCTAAAGACATAGGCCCTAACTGGAATCAAAATGAAGGCATTGAATGCTCATGAGAGGATCATTCCTCAAAGTAGGTGACAAAACGCAAAGCAAGGTTCTGCCACTCCTTTCTGAGTCTCAAGTCAAGTGTATTTATAAGGGGGCAGCTATCTTCCTTGTGTGGGGCCCTGTTTTGAGGCTGGAGGATTCATGTTAATGGACAGAGATGTTAAAATCTCACAGGAAGTCAAAGTTAGAGACTTGAGTGAAGACAAAGGGAAGTACCAACTCCAAAAATGGGGTTCCTATATATTACTCTCCTGGTCTCAGCCTTGTGAATTGCTAAAAATAAAACCAAAAAAACAACAACAACAACAAAAAAACTATCAGTCTGTGTTGTCTTCTCTTCACATGGAAAGCCATAGGGTGATTGACCTAACTGTATACCCCAAATCTGCAGAAATAGGAGATCCAGACCCCTACAGGTGTCAAGATAGTGACCCTAAATAAGGACTGGTAAACCAACTCCTCCATCAAAGATGGGAGCAGGATCAGAGTACTGTTCACCACTTCTACCGCTGAGGAGTCTGGGAATGGTGCTAAGGGGTATGAGAACACCTTAGATTTGATTGCATTAGTTTGCTGAGTAACCTTGTCTGAGGGGAGAGATAGCAGATCAGCATGGAAAGATGTCCTAGGTCCTACCTAGAGCCAAAGGTGGGACCTTGAATGAGGACTGGGGACTTCAACATACCTAGCAAGAATCCACAGAGCTCTGAGAACCGAGCAGGACTGGCAAGGAGGGTAGACTGAAGTGCCCTTTCACTTGATCTAAGGACATTTCAGGGAATGGAGGATATTAGGCATTGTGTCTAACTTACTAAAGCACAAGAGAGGAGGCACAAGCTCTGCTCTCAGTTAATTTCACACTGATAAATGTGATCTGAGAACACTCTCTACCCCAGAGTACACGAGGATCCCCAAGAATTAGAACTGCCACCTTCAATCTCACCATCAGTACACACAGGAGGACTGGCAAGCTAAAGCCTAAGGTATAATTTAATTATTTCCCCTGGGTTCTCAGAGGACAGGCAGATCTGAAGAGGAGACCTGTAGGTTCCTACAGCAGTGGTCACAGGGAATTCTGCAAAGAAGTCTTCTTAAATTTAAGGAGGACTATTTATGCCAGAACTCCTTATGCACTCTCATTTTCTCTCTTCTAGGTGCCTGCAACACATGCCATTCTGTACAGATACCTGCCTATTTCTCAGACCACAGTCATCATGCCACGGAGTAAAAGAAATAAGCTACGTACTCCTGAGAAAGCTTGCCTTGTCCAAAGGGCGGTCCAGAGACTCCCGGAAGCTCAGCCTACTGCAACCAAGAAGAAAATACTGCCCTCATCTTCTGCTCCTTTGGGAATTATCAGCCACACAAAGTCCACTCATCAGTCACAAAGTCCTCCCAAGAGGTCACAGAGAGCAGTTTCCACCACTATGTCTACAGATATTTCAACCCCAAGATCAGATGAAGGAGCCACTTGCAAAAGTAAGAAAAAACAGCATTCTTCCCATTCTCCAACGTCTGTCATACAGTCTCCCAGAGATGTTATAACCAAGACGGCTAGTACATTGGTGAACTTCATCATGCACATGTACAAGATGAAAAAGCCCATTAGCAAAAAAGATATGTTGAAGATTATTGATAAAAAGCACAAGAATCGCTTCCTGGAGATCCTTAGAAAAGCTTCTTTCAACATAGAGGTGGTATTTGGCATGGACTTAAAAGAAATCGATTCTATCAGTCACTCTTATACCCTTGTAGACAAAATGAATCTCCCCTACAACGGGATGCTGAGTCGTGGCAGGGGATTTCCCAAGACCGGTATCCTGATGAACCTTCTTGGAGTGATCTTCATGAAGGGCAACTCTGCCCCTGAAGAAAAGATCTGGGAATTTCTGAATAAGATGAAAATATATGATGGACAGAGACATTTCCTTTTTGGGGAGCCCAGGAAACTCATTACACGAGATCTAGTCCAGCTGAAATATCTGGAGTACCGCCAGATACCTGACAGTGATCCTCCCCAGTATGAATTCCTGTGGGGTCCCAGAGCCTATGCCGAGACCAGCAAGATGAAAGTTGTGGAGTTTTGGGCCAAGATCAATGATACCATCCCCAGCGTCTTCCAGTCCAGGTACAAAGAGGCTTTGAGAGAGGAAGGAGAGCTGAAGACATAGTTTCTCTCAGTGATAGCACTAATGCCACAGACAGGGAATGTTCTATTCCCATGGCAACAGCTCCTCCCATACTTAGTAACTTGGGGAAGATTCTTCTCTAAGCAGTTAAAGAGAGAAGTTATTGTTCCCAGTAGTGGGGGGTGGCAGGGACTGGAGGGAACACAGTGTTTCATATCTTTGTACTTCTACTTTATATGGGCAGTTCAGATATTTATCTGTGTAATTTATTATATTTCAAAGGTTCCTATTATTTAGCATTATAATCTAAGTTTGTGGATACTCTTGGTCACATTGCTTTAACAGGTTAAGAGGAAGAAGGGGTTTTGTTCCTTTGTTGTGTAAAAGAAATGTTGAAAATTTCACTTTTACTGATCTGTTACATAATTACATGAAATTAGAATAAGCATTTTATCATAAAACACATAGAACACAGAAATAGAAAAAGTTTGAGCTGGTCAGCATTTGACTTCCTCTTCTATTTTCTCTGTATTTTATATAGTTAAAAACTGCATAACTGTGGCTCATTCTGAAATCGGGACTCCATCATAATTCATTAGACACCCATATTTATGAATTTATTTATACCCTAAATATCAATTATGCATCTTCTCCTAGCAAGCCCATGCCAGTACCACCAGAGAGAAGAAAAAGCTCAGTAACCGACCATAGAATTATAATGTTCATAAAGAGCTGTCATACAAGAAAAATGGTGATACACAGTGTAAGGCTGAAATGCAAATGAAAAGCAGAGATGAAAAAGAGCGGAGGTTTGAGATAAGAGAAGTCAAGTGTAAATTAGCTGATCCATTGGTAGGGAGTCAAGAAACTGCAAGTTCCTCAATGGGAGGTAAGCTAAGTGAGGCTGCATGTAAGGCGGTTGTGACTGTAAAGGTGGGAGCAAGCACCAGGTGACAAGATTGTGCATCTCAGAAAAGAGTCACTAGCATTCAATGGCAGAAATGCTCTTAGCAGTGCATATGGTAGCATATAGAACCCAAAGGGGTTCTCCCCCTGGAGCAGGGATAAAAAGTGCCCTGTGCACCTGTCCCAGCACTTTCGATCATAGGGCAGAAACTGGGAGTTGTATGGACATAATCTGCACTTGGTTTCTGTGTACAAACAGAGATAACCTCAAGGGATGGGGTATTAACCAAAGACCCTGTGCTGCACAAGTTGCCCTGACATGGAATTCTGTGCCTGCTCAATTAAAAGTTCATTCAATTAAGTTGTCTTCATGTAATTTTGCAAACTCCCGTCAAGTTCTGCATTTTTTGTCATAGTGAAATGAATGAAAATAGGAGTTATTTCCATGGAACAGTAGCTGAGAGGAAAGGAATTTTGTTTTCTTCACATAACTTTTAGAATCTTTGTGTTGAATCACTTGAGAACATCTTCTATGCACTGACATTGAATGACTTATTATTAAGAGGAAACATTAATATTAATATGTTTTTCATACCAAATAGCACTTTATCTGACTGGCTTTTTTTGTCCTAGTGTGTGGCATAATCTCTGAAGTATCCTGCATGCATACACACACATACACACACACACACACACACACACACACACACAGCCCAATGTTGTGGATCATAACATCAAAGGATAGATTAATCATAGTAATATCTGGCAATTTTAAAACATTCCAGTCATTTTATATACATTATGTATATTTGATCAGTGCTTACAATATGGAGTTCATCACACCCATTTCATAGATGAAAAGCCTGAAACTCATTTAGTATGATCATGGGCTAAATTTTAAGTACCTGTTAAATGATAAGGCTACAACAAGACCCCTGGTCTGAATTAATACAAATGCTGTGCTGTCTCATGCTTCGAATCTGAAGCTGACTTTTTTCATCACACTGCTCCTAAATGTATCTCAAATAATAAAAAGGATTCTCTCCTTAATGTACTGGTTTGGAATGTATAAACAGAGTGATGAAATATAAAAGTGATGGAGAGCTGTGAATTAAGGAAGAAAAAGATAATATTTTGTGACAACATGATTATCCTTCTGTTCAAGGTCAGATACTTTCACAACATCCTGGTCATATGTTCTCTCATTATGGATAGGCCTTTCTTTTCAAAAGTTAAATATTTTATAACAAAAACACAAAAATCTAAATTTGGCTGGTAAATAAAAGGCATAGAACAATATGTCTTTTTCTCTAAAATTACATGTTTCTTAGGGGTTCCTGACTTGTGTTACAGTTCCAACATAGTATATCACTCTTGGAACAGGGAAGACTTATCTTCAAGACTTGTCACAGAAAACCTGATAAACGTTTTTAAAAATGTGAAGTTTTGAAGCACATGTTTAACCAAGGAGCAAGAGGACCCATACAAAAGGACTCCACCATATAGGGATGGAGCATGCCAGGTAGTTATAAACTTGAGAGTCTACGCCTTTCTTCTTCAACCATCTCAGGGTCTTCTATTTCTCACCACAGGGGTATTAGCTTCACTGATAGAGTTGGTTCTCAGTCTCTGACACATATTAAATTGAGGGCCCTAAGTGAAGAAGGAACCAACCAGCTACAGCACAGTGGCTCAGGGACTCCTGGCTCTACTGTCCACTCACAGAGTAACCAAACTTCCTTGTCAGAGTGTGGCTGAATCTCATCTGTGTTGGAGTTCTCTGAAAAGTAATGACTTGGACCTGATGTGTGCTGACTTGTGTTAGTTTTCTCATCACTGAGACACAGTATTTGACACCCACAAATTGAAGTGATTTAGTTTGGCTCCTGTTTTCAGCACATGACTCCATGGCTCCAAGACAAGATACAGTATGGTAAAGAAACAGAGTAGCAGAAAAGCTGCTCACTTCATGGCAGCCAGAAAGAAGAGAAAAGCCGAGGAGAGATATATCTTCCCAAGTCACATCCCCAGCAACCTTCCTTCTTAGGCAAGATCCTACCCCCTAATACAAGTCAGACATAGCATCCTCATGATTCAATTGCCTTCCAAAAGTTCTGCCTCTGGGCTCATAAGAATTTGGGGGCTCAGTCTTGATCTAAACCATAGTAGTCCATAAATGGATAAGTTCCAAGGTGGTCCAGGAATACAGTGAATATCCTGAGGAGTGTTGAACTACCAATCTTTTATCAGTGGAGATTCCACAAAATCGTCACTATTGTCAGACAGGAGAGTTTTAGCCAAAAGTATGACATAGAGGAGGATCAAAGAAGTAAGGGACTTGGTCTGCTGGGGGAAGCCCAAGCTCCCTAGGCAAGGAAATTGGGCTCTCTGAGTAAGTGGAGGTTTTTGAGTTAGGGCCATTAGTGGGCCAATCCATCTCATAACATCAATCTGTCTGCCATAGCTGTCACATATGGGAGACCATGAGCTACTGCGACCAGATAAGATCACCTTCATTCCTTGCTATTATGTGCCACAGAAGTGCAGATGAGATAAGATCCCCATATCAAGAAAGTGGAGACTTCCAGAACCTGCTAGGATTCCGATCAAGGAAAATGAGTGAAGACTGATAGTAAACCTAACTCTGAATACAGCCAAAAATGTACATTCTGCCCATTTCAGCTTGACCTATAAATTCAAGTTCAAGGAGAGAGATTGAGTTGTCCCCATCACACTTTTAGAATACTTAAGTGAACAGCAAATCTAAGCAGAAAGTATAGAGATTTGCTCTATGTACCCTATGTCCCCACATGTGCATGGCCTTTTCCACATCAACATCAACATCTAAGTGGGACATTAAGATAGTGAAACTACCTGTTATTATAATGGAAATCTATAGTTTATAATAGTATTCATACTTTGTGCTGCACACTGAGCATAAACAAGTGCATAATAACATACATTCGCCATTGTAGAATCATACAGGATTGTGGTGTCGCCCTATGAATCTACTGTGCTCACATACTCACCTGTATCTACATTTCCTTGGTGCCTTTTTATGGTTTGAAGGCTCATTTGCTTTTATTGCTGAATACTAGTCCATTGTCTGGATGTACCACAACATCTTGGGTATTAGCAAGTTTGGTCAATTATGAATAAAGATGCTATAAACATTTGTGTGCAAGTTTGTGTGTAGTTATAAGTTTTCAACTCATTTGGGTAAATAACAGGAAAGGGAGTTGCTGGATCACAAGATTAAAGTATGTATAGTTTTATAAGAAAGTTCCACATCGCCTTCTAAAGCAGCTATGTGATTTGCGTCCCAATCAGCAATAGACGATTGTTATGGATGCACAACATCCAGGTACTGCATCACTTACCACCTACAATACCTACATCACTTTCTGAACCCATTAATGCCCGTTTTCCCTGTCCACATTCTTCATACCTATGGATGTGATAGAAGAATAAACTTCAAGCTGTCAGAATTGCAGGCCAAAGGTGAGACCCAGTGTCTCATGAGTACTCAAATTTCTTCAACAGAAAAGTCCTCCTCTTCCTACTCTCCTGTAATAGGGGATGCTCCTAGAGCAAACCTGTTTCTGACATCCTCCAGGAGCCTCCAAAATCCCACCCACTACCTTTAATTGCTCTTGTCATGATTTTTTATTTTGATCATTTGAATAGCTATACAGTGGTCTTGTATTATTCTTTTAATTTGAAATTCCCTAATGATTCCTTGATGATTCACCAAAGGAAAAGCTTTAATTTAGTGAAGTCAAACTTGTGAATTGTTTCTTTAAGGATGCCCATCATATCTTCCATCACATCTAGAGAAGGTGAGGTGACTCATGTGAGCATACAGTCAGCAGGAGGGAGAGACGACCACCCTGCATGGCAGCCAGATGAAGACCTTGAGTAAGGACAGGGAGAATGCCTTAATTACTTTCTTATTGTTGAGAAAAAAATATTTGACATGCTCACATCAAACAAGGAAAGATTTATTTTAGTTCCTGTTTCATAGAAGTTTTAGTCTATAGTCAGCTGACTTCAAAACAAGTCAGTATGGCAGAAGTGAAACAGTCTATGGCAGGGTAGGCAGGAGGCAGCAAACAGTAAGCCTCTCTTTTCCTTTT